TAACACTACAATATATTTGTGTGTTGAAATGCTTATCTAGGATTGTTTATTCAGTTTTTCCTCTTTGATAATTACCTTTTTTTTTTTTTTTTTTCGTCCCTCAAGATTGTTACAGGTTCATAACCTGGTTCCTTAACAAAGAAGTTCGTAGAGACCCTTGTTGTAGAGATTTATGATGGTACAAAGTAAGCGCCTTAAAAATCCAGCTGAACTCGTTAAAATTACTCCCAAGCTTTAATTCCACCGTTTAGTTTTAAACTTTATTGACTGTGTACACGAACAGTTGGGTAATTTTAAAAGGTGTTAACTAAGGGTAAAAAGTAAACGTACGACGCAGCTCAGCCACACCTAATCAAGGTAATTCATAAACTCTTTCCCGATACCAAAATTCAAAATACCTCAAATCTGAAAAAAAGGGCCGCGAACGATGATACATGCAACTTATCAGAATGTAGCATATCATAATGACTACCCGTTGCTTATTGTTTCTGATTTTACTGCCACATATAGTACACAAAGTTTAATTTTAATTCGAACAATTTGTTTTATTTCACAATACTGCCAGCTTTATTACAGGCCAAGGCAGGAGAGGACAATACGGAGGGAACATTTCATTGCATGCACGCAACACTTACGAACTCGCATCGCCTAACGAAAAAATAGTCAGAGTGCAGGCGAGCTGGTGTAAGTTGAACATGATTGTAAACCTGAGACTGGGGCAGAAAAGAGAACACAACAGAAGGTAGAAAAAGAGGAGGCAAGTCTCAAACTCAGCCGAGTTTGAGACGTTGGCTCCTCTTTTTCGACCATCTGTTGTGTCCTTTTCTGCACCAGTCTCAGGTTTACAATCATGTTCACATCGTCTATAAGAGTATCAAAAAGAAACTCGACAAGGCTCACATCCCAACCACGACAACGAATGTTTTACTCATCCAACAATACACTTAAAGCACTCTCATATTCCAAAACTGTCACAAAAGTAACAAACAACCTCCCCGGGAAGCATATTCTATAAATCAATAACGTCTAAAAAAAAAAAAAAAAAAAGATTAAATCTGTTTATGCAGGCATGAATTTGAGTAAGCTCTTCCGGGTGATGCAAGCGCTGTCTACGATGACTTTTCGTCTTTATATATTATTTAGAACGATTTTAAGGTCATAATAAATTTGAAAAAAAAAAATTTCAGGCGCTGGCAGTTTTTTCGCTTCCTTAAAGGGACACTGACAAGAGTATTTATGTTCGCCAAGGTTTTTTATTTGTACATGACACGAGAACCGAACTACCTATAACATAATTTGCGGCTCGAAATTTGTTTTCTTTCCGCCCGAAAACCGCCGATCGAGAACTGGCAGTTTTCAGTCGCTCTCACCCTCTTCACGTGCCGTTTTCTTTGGTTTAGACAAGACCACCAACTATATTCAAAGTCGTGGGTGTTTGAAGGCACACACTCAATACTAAATATTTGACAGCCATTTTTTGTGGCTTCTAAAAAGTTTCAAATACGTGGATTAAGGAAAAAAAGTTGCACAGCCACGTGACTTTTGGTAACTTTCTCCCCCTCTATATTTCTTCTTCCTCCGGGGAGCAATCCAGTTCCGGTTTCGAGCAGTTTTCTTTTTTTAATATACGTCACGCTTTAGCAAAATATTGATTGAATAGACTTCTGACGCCATAATGGATCACCTGCCCAAAAATAAAACATTTTTGGGGGGTGTCAATGTCCCTTTAGATGGCTGCGTGTCACCTTGGTTTTTCAGCGCCGTAACCGATGTCGTGGTTCTAAAATCAGAAAAGATAGTACACGCCGCGAATGATTGAACCTTTTCAAGGTCATCTGAAAGAGATACCTGCCATGGATCGCGTACACTAGTGGCAATCTTACGAGGGCTTCGTAAGCTAAAAGTTTAAGCGAAGCAGGTGATTTAAAATTTTCTACGTAAATGCCCGTTTTTTCTCTTTTTATTTTGCATTTTTAATTTGTGTAGTTTACGTATTTCTTCCATTTCAGGTTGCTCGAGATAATAACGCCTAAATGCTTCTTTTCAAAACCCCATGATGAGATACGAGATGAGGTATTGTTTAAATTCCCCTGGTCAACTAGTGAAGGTATAGAGCGTAAATTATAAAATTGTCAGCAAACATCCTTATTTTCAGGCACCCGTTACTGCTTATAAAAAAAAAACAAAAAAAACTTTCTAAATAGGGGGTGAGAGTCGGACAAGTTCTGTGTTCACCCCGTATTTACCAGGCTCGGCGGACATTAGATGAGGTGATAGACGTCAAGGTAAGTTGACTAATTAGAATCTTTTTTTTTTGGATATGTTAGAACTGCACTATTGACGGCAATAGCTATTAGAGGCTAGACCAATTGAAACAATTTTCGAATAAGAGTGTAGTTTGAGAGATATTAATCGATCAACTGTCGCGTTTTTTGGTCCGACTTAAAAATTGGGCTCAAAAAGAGCCTCGCGAGCCCTTCCCACAATGACGCTTAGAAGGCTCACGTAGTCATTTCAATCACATCGCCACTATCTCGGCAGCGCGTCCTCGTTGTATGCGCCAACGGTACACAAGCGACGACGTTACCAAACGACTACGTCGCTTTTCCAAGCATTTTTGTGGGCAGGGCTCGATGCGCTCTTTTTGCGCGCAATTTTTAAATCGGGCGAAAAAAACACGAAAATTCTCGATTAATAAAAAAAAAAAAAAAAAAAAAACATTACCTTTTCACAAATTTTTTAATTAGTCAACTTAGGCTGACGATTATCTCATCTAATATGTGCCGAGCCTGAGAAATACATGATGAAGACAGTACTTTTTTCTCAACCCTCTTTTCAAAGAACTGTTCGCATTAAAAGCAAACAGCCTGTATATGTTGTCAGATCAAAATCACCAAAATTTATTCTTTCTACATCATTTTATATATATATATATATATATATATATATATATATATATTTAACGCACGGTCGTGCACCATTTCCCATTGGAAGGGTGTTTTCCGCCTTAACACGAGGCTGCTGTGTGGCGAAACATCACAGAATCGCGATGTCAACTCCACGGGCGTAGCTTCTCTGCAGAGCACCAAAGCGCAATGAGAAGCGCACTCAACGGAGCTAATCAAACTTTTCAAACAGAACTGATCACGAAACTCCAGAATACAGTTCGAACGTTCGAATACAGTTCGAACGTTCGAAACGGAGGTCAAACAAAATCACGCGTTATTCTAAAGCCGGGGTTACACTGCTTATACACCGTACAAAAGACAGTCTGCACACATATTCGAACGAGTCACCGCGACGTTCGTGCTTCGAATACCACGTGCCAATGAGTTCAAGGAGAAAACTTGGCACGCGGCATTCGAACCACAGACATTGCGGCGAATCGCGTTTGCAGGCAGTCTTTGGTATGATGTATATAAGCAGTGTGACCCCCGGCTTAAGCGATAACCGAAAGTTCTGAAAATTCGCGCAAGCTTGCAGTAGCTCTCGACAGGCGGCAGCAGCAGTCATGCGGTTGGTCAGAGTCATTTTGGTGCAGTTCTTCGAGCGACCAAATGTCAATTTTCGAGCAGCGAAAATGGCATTTGGAGCATAAGCACACTTTATTTTCATTCGTAACACTGCAAATATGTTAATAATAATGTGTTGGCCTGTTCAACTAAAACGCCATGTTTGCTTTGCCCTCTCTATTATGTGCAACCCTTCGTTAGCATCGATTGCAAAGCCGGAGCGGTTCTCTAAAACACAGAACTAGCGTTTAGTGGCGAGGAGAACAAGACACGGTAACAAGATGGCTGACGGAGGGCAGCACGAACTGCTGTGAATGGTTATTTGACGTACTGAATCCCACTAAAATAATGTTAGACTAGAATAATTTTAAGGACCTAAATTAATGTTTACTTGAAGTTTTTAGAGGTTGTAATCAAACTGCAATTTATAATTTAGATAAAACAAATCAGTTGTCTCATGATTATGAGCATCAGTTACATTTTGTATGTAGAACTTCCTAAGAAAAATGGGCATGTGAACGGTTAAATACCTTCTTAAAAACAATCCCACCGAAATTCTGAAGGTCCTTTCCAAGCTTTCATCCACTGATCCTGCCAACGTAGTTCCAATTTACTCACACCTAGATAAAAGTGACAACTAAACAAAACAGTTGGCCTAAAAATAAAGCATACAGGAAAGTGCATATAAATCTTGTTGCAATACCGAAGTATCCTTGCTAAATCCCGAATTGAAAAAAGGTACCGCCATGCTATCGCAGTCTCATATATACAAGACTAAGTTTTAAAATTCAGAAATTGTCCAGTTTCGCTCTGGAAGATCGCTTTCCCCTTAGCACACGGGAGCGCTGCGGCAAAGCAAGGCACGCAAAATTGCAATGCCTAGTCAGCGGTTGCCGTTTCTCTGCAGTACACCAGTGCGCGCTGTAAAGCGCACTCGACGAAACTAACCAACCTGCCAAAACAGACCACAAACGTGAGAATGATAGCGAAACTTCCGTGTACTGTCTTTGATATAAAATGAAATCAAATAGTATGTTATTCGACTCAATAATCGAAAGTTCCGAAAACTCGCATAAGCGTATCACAACGATCCGGCCAGGTAGCGAGGCTTGAGCTATTAAGAACTATATTTTCAGTATTGTTAAAGGGAAATTTTTGGCGCAATGTTGGCGCCAATTCCCCACATTCTGGTAAAATGTGGCGGGATGTTGCAGGATAAGAACTTTGACGCAGTTTGGCGCAGATGGCGCAGCAATCGCATCACTGCAGCAGTTACTTCCAAAATCTGGGTTTGGATGGTGTAAAGATGGCCGTGCACACCCGTATAGACAACTTCAGAAATTCCTTGGTGTCCTCGACCTCGTGCAAGGTGCACATGTGGGGTGTGACCACGGGTCAGCGGAATTATCATGCCTTGAATGAAGGTGATAAGAATGCAAGACTGTATCAGGCAACATAGAAAAAGAGCCACTTGAAACTTTATTAAAATAATTTAAATAATCTGAAACTTTATTCAAATGTCCCGAGAAACAATTGATTACACATTCCCGTTAGGTGCTAATTTCTCGTAGCACATCAGGCGAAGGCTTTTGCAGATTATAGGGGATTAAACAAAAGCCTACATGCCAAAATGGGATGAACAAGCTTTGAGCCCATTTCACAGCTCAATAAACTTCAGCAAAGAACACGAAGGATTACATAAAGAAATAAAGATCATTTTAAATCTTCAGTGTGTGGATTACAGACCCTTTCCAACTTAATTTGCTTATGTTTTCGGTTTGCCCTTACCCATTTTGAAAAACAAAATATTGCATTTTCCCATGTTGCATGTTCTTCTATAGAAAGCAGAATAAATAAGCCATCTGTTCCACAAAACAGCTGTCAAGGGAATTATCTAGATAATGCCTAATTCCATAAAATGATGACCTGTGTAGTCTTCCGTGTCCCAATATGTATCACAGTGGCACAAAAAGACTCGTTTGTATTTGACTATTTCATGCTGATTTCAACCTTTTACTACCATTAAAAACATATCATTTCTATCAATCCATAATGCAGAATAGGCGTCACTAAACTTACAAATTTAAGAGACTGAAGAATGCTTCAGCATACATTCCAATTTCAAACTGATCTTGATTTTCTTTGCCATAGGTAATTAATTAGAATTAACGTTGTTCATTGGAATTAATCACTTTTTAATTTATAGTTGCTATTTAAAGGGATTATTTTCTAAATGCCTCGAATAACCCTGCCCATGAATCTATCCTTAGTGCCCTGAATTGCCAACACATGCATGTAACACAGTAGAATAGTTCAGTAAGTGGGTAGTGTCACCAGAGTATTTGTATGCATTGGGCATGGCTGTAAGAACATTCAATGCATAGCTCAACTCGCAAAAGCTTTCACCAAGACCAAGACAAGCAGAGAATGCTTCACAGTAGATTATCTCAAAGATTTCCCTGAAGCTCAAGTAGAGTAACGGAACTAAAAAATAAAAAATCCACCCATTTAAAATTCTTTTTCTAAAGAAAACCCATTGAAAAAAAAATGCCGACATTTACGTAAAAAAAGTTACAGCTCATTAGTTAGGATGGCTAGCTTAACGAGCTGTTATCGACAATACTTTCCTTCGCAAATATATCCTTGGGTCTGTCCAAAATGAGACGGACATTGAATGTTAAGTTCTGCATAAGTAAATAGGAACACGAATAAATGATGTAGTGGAGGGTCCTTACATACAGAGATCTTTCCAGAATAAAAACATGCCAGCTTGTATCAACCGCGACGTCCAAGCGAACATTTTTACAGCCACACCCCGTACACGTGCATGAGAATAGGTACAACTGCACACGGGCGCATGTAATTGCACATTTGTTAAGAGACTCCCGGAGTTGCACATTTTGCCCCGGTTTTTCTCTTCGTGACATTGTGAAAAAGTGCCCTCAAGCACTGTTCAGACTTCAGTGGCAAAACCTTACAAAAAAAAAATGTATGTTCGAAACACAAAGCGGGAAAAAAGTATGTTTTTAGAGAAGTCTTTTTTCAGCAGCCCAAAACATTGGGACATTTCAGAAACATAGTACTCCACCTCTTTGCACACCCCTTGAAGGTAGAAAAGTAACATTTTCTCTCCTTACAAAGCCCCAATACTACACTCCGTTTCAGCCCAAGTCTGTCCGCAGCTGTCGCTTCGATCCGACAGAGCTGATCACGCAGTGCCAAGAGCGTATCATCACGTCACTCGTTGTGTTTTTGGGCTTGCCATCATTGGCTAAACCAATTGCGCGCAAGAAAAACCGCAGGGTCGAGGCACATTTATGTGTGCGATTGGTTTAGCAGTGAGGACACACTTTGGACGCTGCGCAATTGGGTCCATCGGGTCGTAACGGTGGCTGTGGTCGGACCTGGGACGAAACAGGGTATGGCTTTGGCCTGAAGGAAGCACTGCATTGCCCGCGTGCACAACACAAAGTAAAAAAAGAAAAACCACATAGTTGACGAACAGAGAAACACTCTTAGCGAAAAGGCGGCAAAGAGTTCCAAAAAGCGGCTGGAATGTATTGCAACGAGACAACTCGCAAGAAAAACTCTCCAAAGGAATAAGACACGAGAACGAGGAAGAGTCGACACCAGAAAGGAGGCACTCTTGCACTTGTAGGCTGAAGTGACTAGACAAAACTCACCCTCGGCTGAACCAACAGCCCAACAACCCTGGTGCCAAAACAGGGCATAGACCGAGATGCCACGGCACTCCGAAAAACGGCCAAGAACGGAAAACGATGCGCAGAGCAAACAGCACTTCTGGTCTCTATTCAAAAATAAGTACTAATTCTTTTGGCAAACCCAGCCAAGATACAGAGAATCAATGGCTGTGGTGCACCCGATTTGACCAGTAAGTGCGCCATAATTGCACAAGTCCTTTTTTTTTTTCTTCAATGTTTAGACATTAGATATTTTTTGCAATTCGCTGGCCTCTTTTTGTACAGCCCAATCACTGCAACTCTGCATGCTCAGAAACAAATTTAACTCGCAGACGTTGAAGCAAACTTTAGAGTGGGCGCTGGTAAATTGGGCAAAAGGTTTTTTGCATCTTTCTTTTTTTTTTTTTTCTTTTTTTCGGCAGGAGAACAGGTGCTTTCTCCGTTTGCAAAACACAGAGTCAATATAACATGGTTTAGTTTAAACGAGCTTGTGTCCAACTTGTGAGAAAGCCAAAGAAAGAAAACAGCAATGGGCACAGGTCTTCCAAAAGAACTTCAAGAAAAACATGGAATGTAAGAGAACTTAAAAAAAAAAAAGAAAGCCCACACCAGGGATCTTAGAAACAATAAATAAAAAAAGCAGAAATAAGAAGTTGGAAGATAAAAGTGACATATAAAGCTAAAAGGCTCTATCCAAAATAAATTTTAAAAAAGGTTACAAGCACAAAAGGGGTAAAAAAAGTCTCGCAGAAGCCACAGCCGTCACCGTCTCCCAAGGCACGTCTTGTGACCGTGAAAAGCGTCCAGTCTTGTACGACGCCATCAAAACGGTAAAACAATTTTCATAAAAAAACTTCTCAGTATGCCGCTTCGTAGCCGTAGTGAGGTTGACGCGTGCCTCCATACATCGCGAAGGCTGCAAGAAAACAAAGAAATGCAGAATAATCATAAATTTGTCTAGCACCTTGCAAACACAGGGAAATGCAAGACATGCATCTATTTATGCCGTCCGTTTTTTTACAAACACTGTACACCGCAGGTGATCATCTGTGTGGGAAATGGTGCAGCAATGCGGTAGGTTCTCCCAATGCTGCACACTCACATTTACCACTTAAAGTAATAGTTGGCATTTTACTCTAAACACCGTCATGCAAGAAACAGTTTTTTTGCTAATCTACCTAAGCACCAAGAGGCATGCCCCAACTGTAGTTCTAAATCCAAAACCTAATACAGTAAAACATCGTTATAACAAAGTTGAAGGAGCGGTCGTAATTATTTCGTTATAACCATTAGTTTGTTATAGCCAATGTCCATTTCTTCCCACTATTAGCAAGCAAGGGGAATTACGGTTGCTTTGTTATATCCATTAGTTTGTTATATCCCATTTTGTTATAACGAGGTTTTACTGTATAACAAATTGCACTTTGTACACACGTGTTCGACGACGCCTTCCGTTGACTGTCCACTTAGAGTCTTTTATACTGATGTGGCGTATGCATGGAACACATGTACAAATGTTTTGTTATTTCGGGGCTATTTGTTTGTTTTTTTGTGCGTCCAAGTCGGATGGTTTACACGTTGGTACACTCCATCCACCCCTAAGCTGACACACCTATGACTGGAACAACAAGCACATGGCCCCACCATTAGGGGTGAACGAAGTATAAGCATTAGCATCCCTAGCAGCAGCAGAGTTGGCCAGACATCGGCCAATGGCTGGCAATGGTCCTTGGCCAAGTGACCAGACAGTGGCCAGAGACTGGCCGGTGACTGGCATTTATCGGGCCACTGGCCATCAGCCATCGGCCAAGCATTGGCCAATGAATGGCCACTTTCTGGCCACTTGCCAAAAGACCATCGCCAGACATTGGCCATTGCTTGGCCAAAATCCGTGCTGCTTGGGATATTCAATGCATTGCACATTGGTGCGCTCGATGTAAACAAAGTTCCTTCCCAGACGAAAATCAGCCCACTTCTAGCTGGATTATGGAACTGGTCCCAGCTGGAAATAAACAGTTTAGCTGGATTCCAGCTGGACTGTCTCATTTCCAGCTGGGACCAGTTCCATAACCCAGCTGGAAGTGGACCGATTTGCACCTGAGTTACAAGCACACATGGATTTACACAATAGAATTCCTTACTTAAAACAGAGCTGTATACGTTTTGCCCATGTATGAGGGGTGAGGATGCTGATGACTATGACAAAAACGACAGCAGTGTTGTTTGCTATGCCTCATTTCCAGCTGGGACCAGTTCCATAATCCAGCTGGAAGTGGAATGATTTTCGCTTGGGATAGATTTTATAAATAAGGTGTTCCTTGTGAACCAAGCAGAAGCTCCAGCAAAATATTGAGTCGCTGATTTGCCGCAAAATTGGTTCAATGCATTAATAGACATATCTAAACTACTAACCCAAATTACAAATCACAATAATTTCCTTTTCACGAAGTTGTAGAATTTTTATGCTTGGACCGAGAGGCTGAGAGGTACTACTGCGAACACTGACATCAAATGTAGTATTATAGGGGTCAGTACAGTTTGTTTCCCACCATCAAGAGGCTCACGCCAGCAAAACAAGTGCACAAAATACTCTGTTCATAGACTGCCCGCTCGACTTACGCAAGTTTTACGTGCGACGTCACTCCGCTGGACAGCGCAGGAAAATTGGAATGTTGATTTTGGCATGACCTTCATTTGCCGTTTTCTATTCTAATTTAGAGGTAACAAATAGCATGTCGGGAAGAGCCAACCCTGGTACTCCGAAACAGTGTTTTGATCAGGTAGCTCAAAAAACTACCGGAGCTGCCGTCAAACCAAAGCGGGAGGGAGTGTCACAGTAGGCGACATAAAGCAAGGCGGACACGGCGAGCGAAGCATGCGGACGGACACGGGCAGGAACGGCTTACGAGGCGGCGACAGCGAGTGTGGCGGCGAGGGCGAGGGCGACACACTGCCGGGGGCCCACGGGCCGTGCACCGAGGGGCTACCTGGAGGCAAGAAGGCGCCGTAGGGGCCGTAGCCCGCGCTGCCCATCGGAGCTGCCGTCACGTACAGGGGGCTGGTCAGGTGGGCCACGTCTGGCTGGGGCACTGGTGGAAGACACAACAAAAAAAATTGGAGCTTCAATCCACGCTGTGAAAGTGGTTTGTCAGCGAAGCTGTGGTATCACGTGCAACGACTGCCTACTGCACTATAAAAAATGCCGCCGCCGGTCGCAGCACGCCGCCGCTGGCAGTATTGCAGTTTCTTTTCCGTTTGCCGCTCCTAGTATTCACGCTGCTCCTCGGGAGTCCTAACTATGCGTGGCCTATTCATTGCGGTGCCGCAGCAACAATGGAATCAGTTGCTATACTCCGTTTCATCTTACGTTTAAGCGCAGCGGATCTTACGAGCCATCGGAGGCACAGCGACGTGCAGGAAGCGTATCACGGGCCACGTCCACAGAACGGGATTGGCTAAGATAGCTCATAGCATCCGCTGTGTCTGGACGTAAGGTGAAACGGGATATAGGCGGGTTCTCCTTTTATATGTGAAAGGCAAGTGACGTCACGCCCCACGTCGCAGCTGCCGTTGCCGCGGCAGCTTGGACAACAGTAATCTTCACCGGGAACGTATGCGGTGAGCGCTACGTGCTTCGCATTGTTTTCAGGAGCTCCTTATCATTCATTATATGATTAGGGTGCTTGTTTTGTGCTTATTCTTTATTGAAACGAATGTTGTGCTGTATATGCCTGGTGTTTGTACTTTTTGCTTCGATCTTCTGAAGTCTTCTTTTCGTGAGAACGCAGACACGAAAACACACGCGTGGAGAAGAAACATGCTTCGCATTGTTCGCAGGGGCCGTTATAATCCATTATGCGGTTTGCACTTCACACGAGGGCTTTGAATGACATCAACCCCTTTCGAAGCAGCTGCAAACCTAATCTTTACTGGAACGCATGGGAGGGCGTTCCTATTGTTCCGGTCGGGTGGTTTCGTTTTCTTGCCGGTAGCATGATGGCAGATATAGTTCTCGGCGCGCTACAAGATGGCGCTTTACATTTCGCATATGGTCTATTCCCCACTAAATTTAGCACGGAACTGAATTGGTATTGAGGCCACATGATGTCAATTTTCCTGCTAATCTAGCGGAGAAACTGAATATGTTTATATGTCTCGTGACACAAAGTCATGTGATGTCATTTTCTCCACTGAATTTAGCGCGGAAACTGAATTGGTGTCGAGGTCACGTGGCGTCAATTTTTTAGCTAAATTTAGCGGGAAAACTGTGGGAGGACGCGAGGGTTTGGAGGAGGGGAAGGTATGGAGTAGGATGGGAGGGTACACAGGAGAAAGGGAGGGTATGGAGGAGGAAGTGGTGGAAGGGAAGAAGGGAGGAGAAGGGGAGGAGGAAATAAGGGAAGGAAGAGGGGGTACAGAGGAGGAGAAGGGGCATACCCTCCCCTCCTCCTCCTCAAGAGCTGTGCTCTAATTTCACATTACAGAGATTTATAAACGTCTTTCATTTTTTTCGGCTCTTCGACCTAATACGCACCGACCCTATCTGCTTTTGATTGCCTCCAATTTTTGCGCGGGTGCTTGCTCGGTATTTTATGCTGCGCAACACTGCCATGCTGCCATCAAGTTTGATCCGAAAAATGTGACCCCGGATTATGGACTCACTTTCTGGCCTGATGCCGAGCTGTCCAAGAACGTGCTCCGCTGCGAAATCCTTGGCTTCCTCGACGCTGCGACACAGCTTGCTTGGCGTGAAAGCGTTGTTCGCTGCTGGCAGGTCGGGCAGCGTCACCTGGTGCCGAATACCTTCGTATATACCTCTTCGAGCGGTACATAGAATTGATATAGGAGCAAATACAAGAATCACGCACTCTGCGGGCTCCTCAAGAGTGAGGTAGAGTCTGAGGATATGACTAAACGTTCCATAGCATCAGGTTAGAAGAAAAAAAAGTAGAAAAGTGCTAACAACCAAACAAAATGAGCTGCAATTGACAGTGGCTGCTGCTGCATTATAGACAGGCACGTTGAAGGAGATTTGCCTACGGCCAGTGGTGCTGTACAATGCATTCGACTCTCATAAAATCAAACTCTAGGGAGCCACAGATTTTAGTTTGAAATACCAGATGCGTGAATTATCCGAAATTTATCTATGATGTGAAACGAAGTACCGATTCACTGTAGGAATAGCCACACATACCAAGCAGACTTTTTAAACTTTCCTTATACACGAGCCTATTTATAACCAGCACACACATAAAGCATTGGTGAAGTTCGAAGCGAGTAGTGGTTTTGGCCAAATATTTTCTAATCGAATATCAAATAGTTTCTCCAAGTCTTTTATTACCGTCGTGCCATGCTTTAATGAAAATTCAGCTGAGCTCGTGAAGGTCGATCCCAGCTTCCACTTAACCACTCGTAAGCTCATTTAGTTTAAATAAAACTATATCTATGAACTGTGGCCTCAGAAAGTCCAATGCCTACATTGGGGTGGCATGTACCGTAATTACTCGCGTAATTAACACACTTCTTTACCCGAAAAATTTACACATATATTTGGGGGGTTGCGTTCATTGTGCGGGGTTAAAGTTTTGCATTTATGTTATTTTAGGTGCCAATATGACACGGCAGAGTACTGTGGCACGTCTCCACTGATGGAGGCTCACCAGCAACTTATTGTGAGCGCGCCACAGTAACCATGCTCTTTAAATTGCGAACAGTTTTTAGGGCGCTTTCAGCATGCCTTTTAGCGAAGGAAACGTGCCCTACGAAGCTCACTCAGCACAAAGAGTGATGCGACCGTTCTTAGGCCTAACCATTTTCACAATTGCACTGTTCGAAAGCAGACCACAGACGACAGCGTGTTTGTTGACATCAATGCATTCGATGGGCGAAGAACGTTCGGGGCTGGGCGATTCCTCGACCCCAGCTTTGTTAGATGTGCGCGCCACTCGGTTTCACGGTTGATCGCTTCCGCAACTATGCACTTGCAGCCATTATGAGAGCCACTTGGCTTGGCTTGACTCAGCCTGGCCACTTAGCGGCAAAAGAAAATTGGCTTGGTGGCTAGCTGCGTTGAACGCACCTTGAGACTCGCGCAGACAAAAATTGTAAATGCATTCTTTATGCAAGAACAAAAAAATTCAAATATTGATGTTTGTTGTGGAGGGGTGCATTCATTATGCAAGTAAATATGGTAAATGACAGATTTCACATAAAATTAAACCTAGAGAGACGCCCAGCTATCCAATTAAGGGAATTTATAAATCTGCGTGCTATATGCAAATATTCTTGCTTTATTCTCGAATTTAACCCCATCAGAAAAATAAAGAAAAAGTCCGAATAATAAAGCAGATTGTCAACAGTACTGCCCCATCGAGTGCTCTTCTCAGTATGCACCCACATAATTCAAAAAAGCAATGCCCGCGGGTATTGCTTTCCCACAGTACACTGGTGCTCAGTGAAAAGCACACACAACAAGGCTCACCCACCGCAATGAACAAATAGTATCAATTAAACGAAAAAGATGGTAGAATTAAGTAACTTAGAAACATTTACACACCATATTTTCCGAACTAGCACAGCGGTACGGCGAAATATAGTACCTTTCAAAACCGACCCAGAATTACTCGGCACATACTGGTATTTATACACCTCGCAAGCCTTCTATCACGTTTGCATGGACCAGTATAGTTGATGCAATGAACAGTAGTGAACCTTGTACAGGTAGAGCTGGTTATGTGCATTGCTGCTGTCCGGAGACCCAGATTCACTGCCGGGGACAGGCACGGTGTGGAGCTGGAACTGTGGCTCCCCCCAGCCGTTCTTGTGGCACACGTCGAGAAGGATCTGAGATTGAAAACAAAAACAAATTCATTGACGACCAGAAATTTTCGGTTGTCGTTTCAATCATTTGTAACGGTGTGCAAATGCTAAATCCATTAAAGATTTTTCCTTGTAGTATTTATTTGTCTAATCTTAAGTTCCTCAATATTTATGGTGATGGCCAGTTCAGTAACAAAAAAAATTATTAAATTTAAATGTTTATAACGAGGGATTCTGAACCAGAAAATCAAAGATGCTAGCTTCCCCCAACATACTTCTGGTGAGCAGCTTAAAGGGTAACTGCAAAGAAAAAAAGTGCATTTTTAGACAGCCTATTTGGGACAAGCATGTCAAAAAACAATTTTTTTTGCCAAAAACAAAATTTTTCACAGCAGTATTTATTGCGTGAGACTGATTTTAGTTTACGACTATTTCGTCCGTTTTAAATCGCGCGCCACAAAGTTGGTATTATACGTCATGTAGACGTGGCTGCTATACGTCACGGAGTGACGTATAACAGCCACTCCGAGCGCCTCCAAAGAGCGGGAGTTTCAAATGTGGAGAAGTATAGATTCCCGACTAAATTACGTCCTGTGGCGTAAATATTGCTAGAAAAAAAATTGTTTTTTCGCGGAAGATTTGTTTTGTGATGTGCTTTTCCCATATAAGTTGTTTAAAAAGACACTTTTTTTTCTTTGCAGTTAAACTTTAAGCAGAGGCTATTAATACCTGGCTGATCTACTAAAAATGTTTGGCTTTCATGCTACTGCAAGTAATGACTTCTTTGATTTGCTATGCACATTTACTAAATAACTAAGCTAAAAAAAGAAATTTCACAGATTTTTGTCATCCAAGTTGTTTCTAGGACAAGTGTTGTAAACCAAGTTTTCCACCAAATCCAAATATAATTTCTAGGGTTTCAAACTTTGTTCCTAAACAAAGATTGATTGTACCACCCTACCATTTCTGCCTAAGCTATGGCAAGGTTAGAGAGCATATTTTGAAATGGAGCAATAAGGAGCAATAAAAGACAGCTCATACGACTGTTAATAGATAGCATCTGGGTATCTTGGGATAAGCTCAAGGCAGCAAACACAAAAAGAAGGTCAAGAGCATGAGTACAGACAGCATTAAAGAAATGGGATACAGCAACTCATGGCAAACAAACAAAAAACAATTGTCTTGAGAATGGAACAGCATAACACCAAACCACAGCAACAATGACCACTAAGCACAGCAATAACCAACATAAATAAACAGAACAAAAAAGCCCTCAAATCAAGGAAGCAAAAACCAGATCCCCAACATATAGTTTAAATTTCGATGACCGACTGCGCACTATACTCGGAGGGAGTATTTTAAAATGGAAATGGGACGATTAAAAACAATATGCGCAATAAAACAGGGTCAAAAAGAGAGGGACACAGTATGCTTTGTGTTGTGTGCCTCTCTATTTGTCCGTTTTACGGTGCATATTCTTTAGTAGACAGTGTTCTCTTAGCAGTGAGCATAACCTGCAGTTAAGATAAGGCGCTGTTGCATTCCTTTATCATCATTATCATCAAAATATTAGTTGTTATAATAGTAATAACTGGACACTGTGTGCTCGAATTCAGTCACATGGCATATCTAAGAATTGAATAGGCTTCAGTTTCACTTGCTCTGATGCAACTGTTTCAACTGAAATAAATATGAACCCCCCAAAGATTAAAAAGTCCCTGAAAAAAAAAAAAAAAAAAATTTATTTTTACAGTTTGGCCAAGACACGCGTATCGAAAAATAAATTTTACGCGAAAAGATAACAACTTTCTATAGCAATATTGATGACAAAAGATTTATTTGAAATTCTATGCGCAAAGTTAATGACCCTGGAATGGTCATCCGCTCTTTCCACCTCATCGACATGGTCATTCGCTCTTTCCACCTGGCGAAGCCAATCCACCTCTCCTCCACGTGCCCGAAATGCCGAGAGAGAAAACGAGTGGAAAGGGGGTGACTGACTACCGCCTAAATTGCGTCTTACGCCGTCAATATTGCTCTAAAAAAACTTTTTTTCCATTGAATTAATTTTTTTACATGTGTGTCCAAACGAAACTGTTTAAAAAAATCTTTTTTTCAGGGGCCCTTTAACACAATGCATGCATTAATGCCTATGAACCTTCCTATGTGCACTGAATGACAGTCTGAGCAACAATATGCAATGTGCATCTGTTTTGTCACACTGCCCAAGAAGTATGAAGGTATACAGTTCCTGAGCACTGCTGAATGATCTTTTTAATATCAAGATAGAGCCTGAAATCAGAAAAGGCACTAGGTATATAGGTTCATACTACCCCAACAACGCTAAAACAATTCTTACACTACTCATTGCGCTTTTTTTACAGTGGAGCTGTTAAGGGCTAGTTTCCCCAGGATCGTGTCCTCTGCAAAGAAATGAAGACACCAAACTCTGGACACCTACCGCCATCTATGAGCAACGGCGGCAAGTCACGTATCTGGTTGCCGCCGTCGCTCATAGATGGCGGCACCCTTTTCACTCTGGCCTGCCGATTTGCATCCGGCTATTACTTTCCATTGTACAGCTCTGCTGGTCTTCCTTCTTCACCAGAGTGGAAAGGCTGAAAGATTTTTTTGTATTTTACTCTTAACACTAGCAGCAATAACACTGAATTATTAATGTGAGCTGAGCTGGACAAACACAGCTATGTGTTTGTCCTGTTTCTGTGTAAGTGTGTTTTAGTTCACACTGTTTTCCCACCTTCTAACAATAAGACACTGCGTCGGCATCATCGTGTGGCAAACTTGACGAAGCAGCAGGTTGAAGGTAAGGGCAGACAAACTTGCTAGCAAAACGAACGGTGACAAAGCACAAAGCAAGCACAGCAGGGTATATGATGTACAGGGTTTGCCACAAGAACAAATGCAGGTGCTTTTGTGCGGAGCGTTTTTCGTTACCTGCACCGCATGAAAGGCTGGTTTGAAAATGACATGCTGCGGTGTCGGTGTGAGCTGCATGCCAGGCTGAAGGTCCACCAAGAACGGCTGCTTTGGATGTCCGAGAGAAAGTGCCGCAAAATTATTGTCGTTCAAAGCCGAGATTGAAATTATGCGTATTATTGGAAGCCTCGTCCACGTTTCATGATGTCAGATTGTAGTTTCTGCAATTAGTATGACCGATGAAATTTGAGTTGCGTTGAGTCAAGTTTTTATTTTAACTTCACTTAGACAACGAAATACCCAATGCCTTAGAAGTACCACTTTGATCCTAAATGAAACACCTAAACCTCGTAAATTTTTAAAAAGTAAAACTTCAATTGCTGCTCATTTAGAGCACCGCGTAACATACCGAGCAACTGCCCATTCCGAATTAAGTGCCCAACCCTCAATTTTGTAACATTCAGAAAATACACAAAGGACATATCTTTACATATTGTTGACACGAGGAGAGCCTATGCCCCAATTTTACATGGTTACAGTTGGCTCGCAATAAATAAAACTGATATTTCATACTTCTGGTTAATTAAAACAAAATTTGAACTTTTGGTTGTCCCGTCATGTTTTTAAAGGGGCGATGCAACAATTTTTGTACTTTGCGCAAATACCACTTAGAACGGATCCCTGACATTAATTACCTATGAAACTCACGTTCGTTTTTCACCCCACGCGATAGAAGTCCCAGAACAAAATCAAAGAAAAACGAGCAGCGTTCACCCCCTCAACTCGCAGCCAGAACAAGCGGTCACGTGATCTGGAGCCGATTATATGCCGCCAATGTAGATCATAGCCACGCGCTGGGGTTGGCAAAGCACAGGACACGCGCTGAGTTCCAGATATTGTTATGGCTCGGCTATTGTCGTCGTTGCAGCGATTGGACACGGGCCCACTACCCGAATGCTTCTCGAGCTAGTAATTATCACGAGCCCAAATCGAGTGCCCACGCAATGCTCGGGTCCAATCTATGAACAGCATTCAAATATCGTCATATGGGTGTACTGCGATCCCCACTTTACGTCATGAAATTTTGCAAAGGAGAGATTGAATGAAAATGATCGCTTTTGTCCTTGAAATTAGACCGCAACAAAGGAGTTCTTGGCCAGCGGAGTTGCGTGCGAGTATCCTTGACTCCCACTAGTGCCAGTAAGCTCGTGTATAGTGAAAAACATTCCAATTGAATATCGTTGCACAGCTCCTTTAATGTATTCATAAGCCGCCTTTACCGGTAATTCATACTTTTTTGCTCTCGCGGCCCCATTGAGAGCACTTCTTTCCGAGCACCGGTGCACTTCAAAGTGGCAACACTCGTAAAGCTTGCTTCCGTGCGTGTTGCTTCTCTGCAGTGCACCGGTGCTGGGTGAGAAGCGCACTCAACGGGACTCAAGCAGGGTACACATGAGCTATGAAAACGGGCACTACGAGGAAATTACCACAGCAACTTGCACTCAGTGTTAATATCCTGCCCAAGAGAACAACTATGCAAGCTCAAAATGTATTCTACAGCCCAGTACATGAAAATGGCAGCATACAGTTACAGGAGGCAGCAACTGCAGTGGTCTATGCCGCCTACCAAATGCTAAGTTGGTTTAAAATCGGTAAATAAACTTTACTTCTAAACTTTTAAATATGGCATGCCCATAAAAAAAGCCTATCAGAAACCATTCTGCAACATACCAACAGCTCTTGAGCTTATTTTTTTTAGAAGAATTTTGAGAAATAGGAGGGTTTTTTCATGTATAACTAAAACATGTAGGTATGTCCTTTTAAATATGGGGGTATTGACCCGCTTCTCACCTGCATCGTCCTGGTGTAAAAGGGCGTGATCCTCACGGGCATTGGACGATATCCACGCACGCCTCCTGCACCCCTGCCCCGGCCATGGATTTGCGCCCTCGACGAATCCACTGGCCTGGAAAGATGGTCAAAGAGGTGCTTGTGACGTACTTCTAAGAAACTCGCATATGTGCCTTAACCTTAACGATGTGCAATCTGCTCTGTAAAGCTTCTTCTTGCCTGCACTTCTAGGTCACGGGCATGCATGGAACAGAAACCAATTCGATTTCAGGTAGGAATCGGTGGACGATTGTGTTAGCGTGCCAAAGCTTGGGCGTATGAAATGAAACCTTCTTCCAAAGAACTCGGAAATCCTGCATTCGATCCACACTGCTGCCTTTTTCAATCTGGACGGCCATTGTACCGGCCCGAATTAGCAGCGCACTCCACTTGCCAAATCTGTCTACAGTATAAACGAGCATCACCATATCGCTGTGTGGATGTCACGCTGCCTAGATGTCATGCTTCCTAAATGTCACGCAGACTAAATGTCACACTGCCTAGCCACTAAGTCTCTCAGCTGCTCACTTTATTTTTTTTTTGTTTTTCCTTGGCTTTTATAGCCCAATCCTACTTTGGAACAAGCCTGCCGAGTATAGCCAGATTTCACTTCACTATGCTCTCTCGGGTGGGCTTTTGAGGATCCCAGGCTAGAGGTCATGCTGCACAAGTCAAACTGTTCCTTCACAGCAGTGACGCAGCCAGGAGTAGAGAAAGCAACTGGTAGTATAAAGCTCAAGCCCCCTCCACCTCCCCCCCCCCACCCCCCACACCAAAATGTAGCAGACCCTATAATGCTATTGGGGAGGAGGAGCGACCGTGACGCCCCAAGCGGTTAACTTTAGAACTACACGGATGGGGACAACAAATACAATGATTCAGCGCCCGGCCGACATAACCGAACGCGGCGTCAGCGTTCGGCTAGAGTTTGTGTTCTCGGGTGAGGGGGAGAAGGGGCTCTTTTGTTTCCACTCTGGCCTGCAAGAACAATGCAGCATGCAAGGTCCCAGCTCTGCACAAAAGCCGAAGTGGGTCAAGCTCGCATTCTCCGACGATAGATCCGGCACTTAACGTCGCTTCGTCGATCGTTAGTATTTTTTACATTAAACTGTGCCCTGCGCTCTATTGTAGAAGATGACATGGACATGCCCATAAGGCCTGTTGGCATGTGCACAGGCCTTGTGTTGAGTAAACACCGAGGGTGGGGACAACAAAGGGGTTAGAGCGCCCCCTATAGTTCGATCTCCTGCCCAATACCCTTTGATATCCAAGCCACAAAGATCCCAGCCATGCTAGGCTCCACCCGGAAAAAAAACTTCCTAGTCCAGGGTAAACTCGTCGCAGAACACAGTGCACTAACCTCAAGCTTCATGGAGATCTACACTAAGCTGCTAACTTCTGAGCTCCAAATTTCACCTTCGAGCTACGTAACCTCACCTTCCAGTGCCGATGGGTGGGAGGCGGGGGGACCCCAGGGAGTAGAAGTCATAGCCAAAATTAGCCGATGGGGAAGCCATCATGACCGGGGGCCCGCAGTAACTCCTCCTGACGTCCGAGAAGCGACATTTTGGCATTGACTTCGGATTCCGGCTCCGGTCAACTGGCTTGGACCACGTCACCTCTATCACCGAGCCGTTGAGCACTGCATCTGAGCATGTACAAAAGACTTTTATTACTATAAGCCCTGGCTTTGAGCTATACCAGCTCCAGGGAAAAGTCCATTAGTAAATTCTAGGCCAATTAGTTTGTTAATTACTCTGTAACATTGGTGCCAGACAATCTCCGCAATCTATAAGATTATCCCAAAATAATTTTTTATATAAAATGTCTTTTCTTTTTTATAAATTTTAGACTACACGAAAACACCCCGTGTATACATAGCTTCACTCATCAGCAATAGGGAACATAAATTTAATAAACCACGCCTGGCAGTTTCATTGCAGTCAAACGTGTTAATCTAAAACCCTGGCACTGATGGGAAGCGTTTCGTACGCAAGCCACTTCATTCTGCCAGATTGGCACAAGAAATCGTGCATGCGAAAGTAAACCGGGCCTGCCGGCTCTATCCCTCAATGGTGCATCTGCACAACATGCGTCCCGTTGTTTTACATAGGACAGCTCAGTCTTCTCTCTCACAGTGTGTCTTGCTGGCACCATGTATCCGCTGAGCAAAAGACCAGTTAAGCATAAGCCAAGTATTAATTACCTCAAAAATACAAAGCATGAAAAACAAAAATTAAACTGGGTGTCGCAATTAAAGAGCCATGGTATTCTGAAATCCGTAACAGGGCACTTGACTGGCCTTGGTCGCTGCTCCACAAGCCAAGGGCAAATTTTATGAAAATAAAGCCTATGCTGCTGCTCACAATGTTTTCTACAACCGATACTCTCTTGGTGAAGGATTGTATATTAACACTTTGGATTGCATTAAACACCCCAGGATAGCTTTTGAACTGCACTGGCTAAAATGCCCCTTCAGAGCACTGAACCGACGGCGTGGTTGGATCTTTTGGGTAGATTGAGCCCCTACAGACATTAACAGCTAGTGCTCAATTGGCTTGACCCCAGTAATTCCCTTCCAACACTAAGCACCACAGCCTGACCTATCAAAGTACAAAATACTACAGACAGTATGGCTCACTCTGCATGGCCTCCAAGGCTGTGGTGGCTTCCTCCCGAGACCGGTAGTGGATGAAGGCAAAGTCCCGAATCTTCTTCACCTTGGACACCTTGAGGCTCCCGTTGAGAGAGAAGACTTCCCTGAGTTCATCCTCCGTCGTGCTCAGCACCAGGTTGCGGACATAGAGCACCATCACCTGCGCACCCCCAGAAGTTAGCACCACCGCACAGGCTAAAACAAATAAAACTCGCTATCTCTTTGGTATTTCCCAGAGGCACTCATATATAACTCCCCCGTCAACTCATGATGTCACCTGACAACACAGCATCACGTGATTTTGGGTGACTAACAGGAAAGCATCTGGCATCACAGTGTCAACATCATGCTGTCACGTTAAGCGAAACCACGTCATATGATACCTCGGTGTTATATGTGACTTCATGCTGTTGAATGGCGACCGCCACGCTGATGATTGTCGTCGTGTGACATCATGACAACGTGAGGGCCACATACCAGGCATGCTAAGAAATCGCTGAGAGTCGACTCTATAAATGCTACATGCATTTAAAATTCTATTGATAAAGTCAAGATCACACTGACTGTGTTGGGCGTTTATTTGAGCTGCACTAGGTGTTCATTTATATAGAAACTTTCTAAGTTCAGGAGACACGCTGAACGTAATATGCGTCCCCATTTTATTTTGAGATGTAAGATACCTTTAAATTTATTATGACACTCTGGAGATGACTTGCTCGTTTTCTTTTAAGACTGAAGGTACTGCAAGTTTTAATAAACAAAAAATCACAACTTTTCAGGACAAACTCAGTACAGGCGACTGTGTTGGTCTGTGTGAGACGGCTTATTTAAGTCTCCCCCCCTCCCCCCCTTCCACCTCCCCGTATGAGAAATCGAAATCCGGAGAAGTACCTGCTGGGCAGTGTCCCCACGAATTGGTGGACGTGTAGTAAAATTATGTTTTGCTGCAATGTTGGCGCAAATTCATCACATTTTGGCAAAATGTAGCAGGTTGTAGCAAGGTAAGCACTTTGGCGCAGTTTGGTGCAAACGGTACAGCCATCACATCACTGCTCTGCTCATCCATCATACAAAAGACAGTAAGCAAACACAAGTCACCGCCATATCCGTGGTTTGAATGCCGCGTGCCAAGTTTTCCCCTTGAACTCATTGCCGTGCGGCATTCCAAGAACAGACCTTGCACTGACTCGCGTTTGAGTCTATGCAGAGTCAGAGTGTCTTTGTTATTATGTGTAACCAGTGTGACCCCAGCGGGAAACAAGCTCTTTAAAGGAACACTAACAGGGTATTTATGCTCACCAAAGTTTTCATTTCTACATGACACATGAGAGCCCAACTACCCAGAACACGATTTACGGCTCGAAATTCTTTTTCTTTCCGCTCGAAAACAACCGATTGAGAACTGGTTGGTTAGGCTCGCTCTCTTCTCCGTGGTCACGTGCCGTTTTCTATGGTTTAGACACAACCACCAAATATAATCGAAGCTGTGGGTCATCAAAGGCACACACTCAATATTAAAAGCATAAAATAAAATATGACACCGATTTTGTAGCTTCCAAAAAGCTACTAATACATTGATTTTTTCTTCCTACCCAGCCCAGTTTCAATTTCAAGCAGTTACGTGTTTTTACTTTGTAAAAAATGTATATGCCTCAGTAGCAAAATATTGATTTGGTAGTCTTCTGAAAACCATATAAAATCACCTGGCAAAAACTTTCGATGGCAGGAATTTTAACCGCACTGCATCACAACACTGCCCTGCAGTGAAACCAAATATAATTTGTCGCTATGTACTTTTGTTTTCATTTTGTTTCATTTTTTTTATTTTTTTCATTTCACTGTCAGGAAACACGCAATGGCACATAATTAACTTTATCCAAAAAATTCAGTTTTGCAAAAAATCTCAAGGCAAACATTTAAAAAAAAAAATTATATATAAACTGGGTGTTTTAGCGAACGTTGGACAAACTTCTCCTGCAAAAACTCTGCAAAAACTATATATCACAGCAAAAAAAAAAAAAAAAACGGTTGGTGCCATATTTGTCATTGCCGTCAGGCACATTGAGTTTCGGATAATTAAGTTCCTCACACTGATGTCATTGATTCGAGTTATTTTGGAACATTGTTTAGAGCAACTGGAAGTCCTTTCTGGAGCAGCAAAAAAATACTTTTGGAGTATCGCATACTTTTTAATCTTATTCATTCCACAGTGAATACTGTATGCTAAGATTCATGTATCGCCCTGTCCAACAAAACCACACTGCTTGTTTACCTTCCCACGTCTGTGCAACCACTTTTGAGAACCCACTACAAAACATAATTAAAGTGCAAATGTAATTTAATTATGCTCATCAGGGGTCCCTTACAGGAAATCTACAGCAGGTGGACAATAAATGTGCCTTAACAAGTCCAGCTGCAACTCAAATGTCATTGCCAGAATTTCATTCCTCAGATAAAATAAACTGAACTTTAAACCTTATTAAATGCATCTATGATCAGCTGGGGGCCAATTCGGGGGTAACAACTCAACATAAGAAGTAAACCTATTGGGGAGGAGGACAGACCGTGACGCCCCAAGCGGTTAACCTAACAACTACACGGATGGGGACAACAAATACAATGACGCAGCGTTCGGCCGACATAACCGAACGCGGCGTCAGCGTTCGGCTGGAGTTTGTGTTCTCCGGCGAAGGGGAGGAGGGGCTCTTTTGTTTCCACTCGGCCTGCATGAACAATGCAGCATGCACGATCCCAGCTCATCACAAAAGCCGAAGTGGGTCAAGCTCGCATTCTCCGACGATAGATCCGGCACTTAACGTCGCTTCGTTGATTGTTAGTATTTTTTTTATTAAACTGCGCCCCGCGCTCTATTGTAGAAGATGACATGGCCATGCCCATAAGGCCTGTCGGCATGTGCACAGGCCTTGTGTTGAGTAAACACCAAGCGTGGGGAAAACAAACGGGTCAGAGCGCCCCCTATAGTTCGATCTCCTGCCCAATAGCGCTGCCCAGCTACACCAAACCAACATGGTTCACTTACCCCCTTACCCAAAACACAAGTTATAAGCATCCTTAAATCTCGAATTAAAAAAAAAAAAAGAAAAAAGACACAACCTATGCGTGCTGTCAGAATGTTGTAATCTATCACATAGACGTCATAGATTAACCATAGTTTCATTTTTAAAATTTTATTGCAAGGTCAATGTTGTCACATTATAATTCACAAAATCGTTCTTTTTTCTTCCTTTTTTTTTCCTGAATGGAATGGCGCAATTACGTGCGCCATTCCAACCTGGGGCTCTGATCTGGACACTTCGCAAAAAAAGTCGGCGAGGAATTCGGAGGTCATGGTTGGCCGGCGCAGCGCTTGACCTTGGCGCCGGCCAATCTCGGCGGTCCAAATCTTCGCCGACTTTTTCGCCAAGTGTCCAGATTAGAGCTCCTGGAGGAGCGTTTTTCTACTTAACACGAGGCCGAGGCTGCGCAACGGCGAAGCGACATACGCAGAATCGCGATGTCTCCTCCGCGGGCATCGCTTCTCTGCAGTGCTCCAGTGAGTGGGGAGAAGCGCACTCAACGGAGCTAATTTAAAGGGAAGCTGAAGAGGTTCTTGAAAAAAATGAATTAGAGGTGAATTCTAGAGTATTTTTATCCCGTGAATCTGAATATCACGTTCGTTTTCCCCGAAGACGTAACATAACGCTAAGAAACACACACACACACACACACACACACACACAAAAAAAAAGAAAGTCCGATTAGTCGTTACGTTATAAAAGGATCTTTGGTTTGCCACGCGCGTGTCACTCGTGTGGGCAGCGCGTGCAATTGCAAGCCCTGCCAGGTATATTCCCCCGCACTCACACCAGTCGTGACGCCTCATTTTGACCTTTTTCGAAATAGCAAGAGTGCGCGTGCATAGCTTTGACAGGCGCCGAAGATGCGCGAGAGTGGAGATTCCGAAAACTCCTAATGTGACATAAGGATCCGGGAAGAAGGGGCTTCAGCGGTACTTCGAAAGTGATTTTCTGCAACCTCCGTGCACCATATTGAAAAATAATCTCGATATTCGTGATCCTGGAGACCAAATGAAAACGACTGAAGTGCTTTTCCTCAAATACAAAACCGCTTCAGTTTTTTTTTTTTTTTTTTGTTATTATTATTACTTGAGCAGATTAAAAAAAAAATTGGGAATATCATGAAACGTACGGGTAATGAGTCATGTACAATACCAAGATGAAATCAAGCCACACGTTCTTCTAAGGGATAACCGAAAGTTCCGAAAATCCCTGCAAGCTTACCGAAACAATCTGGCAGTCTAGCAACGTCTAAAGGCCCGTTCACACTCTTGCAGCCCAGTACGACCGAGAGAGACAAGACCGGTTTTTAAGCCTCTCACGACGTCTTAGGACCAGCTCCGCAGCAGCGCATCCGATTTTAAGACGTCGCAAGAGGCTTAAAAACCGGTCTTGTCTCTCCAAGGAGGATAGAAGGGTAGGAGAGGGCATGACGCCAGCCGCATAGCCTTCACAAGCCATGCTCCCTTGACGCCTCGCCTCTTTCTCATTTTCCTCCTTACTCTCCTCACTTATCAGGCAACGTGACCACATCACGTGACCGTAGCTAGCCTTCGTCTAGCTATGGGGTACTAGAATACACCACAGTCTAGCCTTCGATCTGAGAAAACCTACCGGACGGAGCGCGCGCAAGCCTGCAAGGAGTCCTTCTACAATCAACCATCCATCTCACACGTGACATGTCACGCGCACCAATAGCCAGAGAGATCTACGGTCACGTTGGCCACAACATCGTTTAATCTTTTTATGACTAGGCTTCACCAATATTGCACCGTGCCCCCTCCTAGTACTTCTAAACTCCTTGTGTCTCTCTCGGTCGTACTGGGCTGCAAGAGTGTGAACGGCGCTTAACTTAAATATACAAACTGTTAAAAAAAAAAGTAAAGGTTTTAGCTCTGTTGGCTGCTATTTTCCCTTTCCCGCAAAACATTTTCATAAAATCACATAATTTTTTTAATAAAATAACGGCTAGTCTGAAACTTTGGAATCTTCTTCGGACGCCTACCGCAACGTTTGATCTGAGAACGAGCGTTCGGCGAAGCGCTGTTTATTTTCGGGGTACCCTGTTCTTGTTTCCGTACAG